ACATAGAATACAGACTTGTAGTTGCAAAGGAGGAGGGGGTGGGAAGGGATAAACAGGGAGTTCGAGATCTGCAGATACTGACTAGTATATATAAAATAAACAAGTTTATACTGTATAACACAGGGGAATATATTCAATATCTTGAAGTAGCTTATGATGAAAAAGAATACGAAAATGAATATATGTATATTCATGTATGACTGAAACACTGTGCTGTACACCAGAAATTGACAAAAATTGTAAACTGACTATACCTTAATTAAAAAAAAATAAAGGAACAAGCTCCTACATATTATGATTAAGTTACACCTATTAAAAATTCCCACACTGATTGTAGATTGGTCAGTTTCTTCTTGTAATTCTTTCCAGTTTTACAGATACGAACTATTATTTATTACTAATGAGTAGTTCTTTGTCATTATGTAATCTCATGTTATTTTGACCATATCAACTAAAGTTTTGTTAGTATTTGTAAAAGAAAGAAAAAAGAAAAAAAAGACACTATGAACTCATCTACAAAACAGAAACAGACTCGCAGACATAGTAAACAGTCTTATTATGGTCACTGAGGAAAGGGGGTGGGAAGGGATAAATTAGAGTTAGAGATTTGTAAATTGTAGCCACTGAATATAAAAACAGACTTAAAAAACCCAAATTTCTGCATAGCACAAGGAACTATATTCAATATCTTGCAATAACTTTTAATGAAAAAGAATATGAAAACGAATATATAAATGTATGTGCATGAATGGGACATTGTGCTGTACATCAGAAATTCACACATTAAAACTGACCATACTTCAATTTAAAAAAAGGCCATTATGTAAAAAATACTCCTGTGTTTATGAATTTGTCACAAAATTAAATACACAGTTTTACATAAAAAGAGGCGTGTGTGTGTGTTTTTCTCCCCCATCCTCCTCTGGAGCAGCTGAATGACACTGGTGCAGGGGTGGGTGCTCCTGCTGAGTGACCCACTCCCTCCTTCTCCCCTTTATGCCTCAGGCTCAGCCTGCATGGGTGTGTCTCCTGTGCTGACTCTGAATTTCCAGGCACCAGGTTCCTAGGGGACTTGAATTCAGCCCCACCTCCCTCCCTGCCCTCCCACTGGGAGAGGGACCCCAGCCTGGCCTGGCTCCCCCACAGCTTCCCTGGGTGGTGTCTCTGGGTCGCACCTGGGCCTGCTGGGCTCCTGTGAGGTGCAGGCTGGCTCTGACAGAGCTGTTGGGAAGGGGCGGTGGGTCCCTAAGGGGTGGGGCACTGCTTGCTGGGGTCTTTCTGTGGCCTCCCACCAGTGGCCTCCTGCATCTTGGGCCACCTTCCCTTCCTCTCCCCTCTGCCCTTTCTGCATCCTCATCAGTGGGCCAGGTGGCTCAGCCCTGCAACCTCATGAAACCCAATTCCCTTCCCCTGGACTTTAGGCCCTGGCTCCCCCACCCACAAAGAGTTCCTGGGAGGCCCCATGATCCCACCCTCATCCCCTTCTCTGGAGCCAAGGTACTGAGTGCAGAGCTGCATGCCCCTACCTTGAGGCCCCCTCCTGCCCTTGCGCATTGGCTCCTCAGCCTCACCCTGAAGTCACAGAGACCACAAGCTGCTGTCTTCATCCTCCACAGTCTTCTGGGGCCATCTCCCATCCCCTTTGGATTCTCGTTGCTTTGCTCCTGCTAAACTCGCCTGTCTCCCCCAAACCAACACCAGGTGCGGCTCTTTCAGAAGACTCATTCTCCAGCTCCATGTCCTTTTTCCTGAACTTTGACCCTTATCCCAACCCTCCAACATCAGTCATCACTGAATCATTCCAAAGTCATTCCCACTTTCCTCCCTCCCTGCTTTCTCTTCATCTGGCTGTCTAATGCAATGCACTAATGTGCTCAGAGTAAAAATCTAGATGATGGGGAAATAATGGGGCTTTAAAAAATATGTTTCATTTTAATGTTCTACATATAAGTTGTCTAATTTATATATTAATTTAAAATATACAGTGTTCTGCCCTTTTTGTTTAAGAAGCTTCTTTAGTATGAGAAAATTTACTTTCATGTAAATATTTCTCCCAACAAAGCAAATACTTAAAAGAAGCACTACGTAGAAAATGACTATACGTTTTTTTAGATCATGAGATGCACCCATCCCTGAAAGAGGAATTCCAGCCAGATTTCTGAAGAAGCACTCATTCAGTGAAGCCATTGTTGCAACCCCACCACCACTGCTGAAATCCTCTCCCTCTCTGGCTGATGCAACTTCCAGGGGATTTAAATGGCTTGTGCCTTTTACTCCACCACTCTGTATCTTCATTTTTCTTTATTTTCCCTTTTAGGAATTATATATTTAAGGACTAGAACCTTCAAAAACAACTACATATATGCAGAATATGCAAAGTCACTATCCATGCCCAGGAAAGATTCAGGCTCAGAAAAGTTTGGAGACGACCTTAGTTTACACCTTGGTTTCATTCCCAGCACACAGACACCCTATGATAACAGCAGCAAAAAGGAACCCCCAGGGGAAGGAGGGAAATCTGGTCTCCAGAGTTACCACATTACAAGATTCAAGTGTCCAATTTTCAACAGAAAACAAAAAACAAAACAAAACAAAAAAACACAAGGTATGCAAAGAAACAACAAAGTATAATCTATTCAAAAGAAAAAAAAAAAACCAAAGAAACTATCCCTGAGAAACAGCACATGTCGGATATACTGGAAAAGTCTTAACACAACTATCCTAAAGATACTTAAGTAGCTAAAAGAAGACATAGTCAAAGTCAAGACAATGATATCTGAACAAAACGGATATATCAATAAGGGAGATAGATCATCACAAAAAGTTACCAAAAAAATTCTGGACCTGAAAAAAAATCAATGAACTAAAAACATCATGGGAATAATTCAAATGCAGATTTGAGCAGGTAGAACCAGAAAGCTCAAGACAGGTCATTTGAAATTATTGAGGCAGAAGACCAGAAAGAAAAAAAAGGAATAAAAGTAAACAGAATCTAAGAAACTCATGGAACATCTTTCAGCTTACCAATATCACATTAGAAGTCTCAGAAAACAAAGAGGGAAAGGGGCTGAGAGATAACTTGAAGAAATAATGGCCAAAAATTCAGCGAATTTGGGGAAAGACGTTGATTTACAGAATTAGGAATCTCAACAAACTCCAAATAGGATAAATCAAAGGAGACACACACTGAGACATGTTGTAGGAAAACTGACAAAAGACAAAAAGATGATATTGAATGCAGTAAGACAGAAGTGACTTGTCATGTATAAGGAATCCTCAGTACAGTAATCAGCAAATTTCTCAGCAGAAACCT